GCACCCCCCCCCCCCCTCAAAACCTGCGGCAGCCGCAGGTTTTGAGGGGGGGGGGGTGCCGCAGGCCATTAACTATATCAAAAAAAACATTTTTAGCGGACAATATTTATGAATCAATAGCCTAAACCTCGTAGATTCCATAGGGATGTTTTGAGCCTGATTCGTCTTCTTAGCTCTGAGTAATATTTGGTGAAAGCACAACGATCAAAAGCGAAAAATGGGAAAAACGAGATTTTGGTTGGCTTCTAATTCAATAGTTTGGAGGTCTTCTGAAGCGGGATTCCTGAGGTGGACAAAGAAGGAGTAGTGCTTTGTATTGAGTGCAAGAAGAGGTAGCTTACTCCGTCTCAGACAATCGCTGGGGGCAGGCGGGCATCGGAAAAATAGATTGCTGATTTCTCGCACCCCGCTCGCGGATTTTTTGCAAAGCAATCAGGACTTTTCGGAAGACCGCTTGCTGAGTCAGCGGATTTTTGAGAGACCGCCTGTTGAATTTTTTATCGCTCTTATCTTTTGCAGATATATTGCTGAATCTCTGAGGAATCGAGAACTCAGCAAGCGGTCTTCCGAAAAGTCCTGATTGCTTTCCAAAAAATCCGCGAGCGGGGTGCGAGAGATCAGCAATCTATTTTTCCGGTGCCCGCCTGCCCCCGGCGATTGTCTGAGGTTGAGATGAAGTTAATCATGTTTTAAATTACTGCTTTATACAAGGTTGTTTACTGCTCGGAGACCTCAGTGTTCGCTGAAGCTTGGCGCATAGGGGTTATTCGACACGCAGATTACGAAAATTATGCTTGATTAGAGGTACGGTAAGTTACGGTAGGCATACGGTATCTGCAAGTTTGTGTCGTTGAACTTGAATTTTGCAGGATTTCAACAGCGCTTTCACCAAGCCAATTTAGTCACACAGCTTGTACAAGTGCTTTTGACCTTGGGTCGATACGACCCCCCCTACCTACCCCTCCCCCCCCCCCCCCCCCAACGACCCCCCCCCCCTGCGGCGTGCCGCACCCCCCGCTTTACCCTGGGTACGATTCTTGTCAGCAAACATGCTGACAAGAAAAACATGCATCCATCACGGGTGGCGGTCAAGATGAACGATAGCATGTGCCAGCCGCCAGCTGGGTACCGTACGCGGTGCGCTGATCGCTCCGCCCCCTTGTTAATTGGCCTACGAATGCGTTGCAGCTATTGGAAAACTCTCTAATACTTCGTTCATGCTTCTTCAGTTGGTTGCAATTTGGATAACAGTAGATTTCAGAATTTTAGTTGTTCTAAAAATCAGTTTTCAGATCAATTTTCATTATAAAATTGGTTCGCAAGCTCTTTCTAATGTATTTCAATAAATTGTTCCTAGTAGACTTGTCCAAAATTTTCACTGCAGGTATGAGTAAATTGTTTTGATGCTTGGAAAAGTGTATTCACATCTGTTACCATATGAATATGCTTTGTTGTGCACTAAGTTTAGTTCAAAAAGAAGTCAGTTTATCGAGAAATATTATTATTATTGCTGAAATGACCAACAACATTATCTCTTTTATCGGAAAAGTAAGTTTTAAAGCCTTAATTATAGCTAAAAACAGATTTCATTGCGACGAGAATTCAAAACAAGCATCATAGGCGAATTTTGTTTCAAGCAAACTAACTCGTTTTGCAAATATGCGGTCATATCACATAAATTTTCTCAAAATTCAGGAAAATCATACTGCACTTATATATTTTGAATCTGCTTTAAATAACAAAATTATTTTATTCTTCCAAAAACTGCTATCCTCAATATAAATCGATCTGCAACTCATTTGCGTGTGGACTAGTCGTAAGATGTGAGGTCACTTAGATTATCATGCCTGAGGTGTTCTAGATTGATTTCAAACTTCAAAGTTGGATATCCAGGAGTCACTCGGTCATTCATAGGTAAATCAGCAAATTTCTCGAATTTCACGACCAACATATCAACTGTTCATCGATTGCCAAAAAAAAAATCAAAGCAAGTTTCTGTAAATAGTCAAGCTTTAGTCCAGCTTGCAACAAGCTTATACCTCACTATCAAAAGGTATTTATTTACTTGACGGTATCGTCCGAGAAACTCGTCCGCCGCAGTAGGGCGGAGCTTAAAGCGAACACGTTATTGCCAGTTCATGACCCCGCGCGCCACTGGTACCAGCTATCGTTCATCTTGACATATACCCATCCATCACTAGCTGGTCCAAATTTCCTACTCTTGCTCCACTGTTTCTTGCGACAGTGTGCATTTATTAATACAATGTTAATTATTCAAAGAATTAGATATTCTTTATATTTTTGATTATGCTTCGTTATCAAGTCCACTTTGAGTGCGCAAAAGGTCTAAAGCATGCCTTTTTTTCAACAAAATGCTGACAAAAAGTGCCGTTGTAACAGCTGTTTGATCCTGCCGTTATGCCTTGATTCAGGTCTCAACTTCAGGTGGAAGTGGTCAGCCAGATGCCGGCTCTAAAGTGAAGGGGGTTAAAGAAATTTCTCCACCTATCGCATCTATGGTGGGAAGGGCAAGCATGCGTGACCAACGTAGAAGAAGCACTGCGGGAAAGTTGAACAAAGACTTTGTTCTAAGAATGCCGCAAGGAATCCCCGAGAAGGAGTCACGCCAAACTCACGGATAGTACGTGCACGATATGCGTTTTTGCGTTGCCTTCAATGCCTGTGGTGTCATTGATCGTAGATCGCCATTATCAACTGGCGCAGTTCACACTTAATCATCATCACCAATGGGTAGGTCATTTTAACGTTCCATTTCTTCTTTTTTTTTTCAGTCAGTGAAACCTCCTTGTACCGGTTTTACTATGCCTTTTCCAAGCAGACTGTTGAACTGGGTACAGTGTTTCGTTCTGGATAACTGCAGAATACGGAGTCCCAATGTGAGCGCGACTGCGGCGGTTCTTTTCAGTGGAAATATGTCAAAGGCAGCGTGACGGACTGCAGCCCCTTGTATCACCCACTATACAAGTGCTTTTGAAAGCTGTTTTGGTATGTGAACCGATGTTCGCATTTGTCATTAGTTCTATTGCTGCGATCCAGGAGGACTTCGATGTTCTTTTGAGGGAACAGGAAGGAAAGGATATGTTTTTTAAAGGCAGTGTCCGAGCAAGAATTCGATTTTAAGAAAATCCACATACCGGGGGATATCCGCAACGGTAAATCGGAAAATCCACATTAGAAAAAAATGGCGAGGACATGCATTTCCCAAAGCCTTACGATTTGAAATTCGACGGTTCCCGCCAAGACTGAGACACAGAGTCGCTCCGGAACCCTACGATTTGGACTGTGGCTGCATGCGTACAGTCTGACCCAATCGGGATCAGGCCGAATCGGCTACATTTGCGCGCTCGCAGCGCTAGGAGATTGCGCTGCATATGCGCGCTGTCGCAGAGAGTGAACAGATCGAGGAGAGAGCTAGCCGCAGATGTGGCGCAACCCTCGCGGCGCGGACTCCCGCCATGCCGATTTTGACCTGGTTAGGATTGGGGCAGGCTGTACTCTAGAGTAGCTGCCGCATAGCAGGAACTCAAATCGGAGGACCCCGCCCCAAGGTGTAAGTTCCCCACTTCCCGATCGTTTTTCTTGTTTTAAGTCGATCATTATAACCTCGTGCTTGCGCGTTGCTGTGTCTGAGAGGGGCCATTTTCGTATGGCATTGAAGTCCCAAAACCCCCACTTTGTCCGGACACTGCCTTTCATACATCCATGTCTCTAAATCTGACCCCAGCACCGTAATAGCACAATTAGCCACCTCACCAGCCGTCGAAATAGTTTCCGCGCAAAAGCAAGGATGTTAGTTAAGTAGTCTGCGGTACTGGCGTCAGTTGGAGACGGATCTTTGTCCGTCAATGAATCGTTTGCGGCGCGGTTTGGGTAGCACCTTAGTCATGGTATCGCAATCAGTTCTCACTTGAAACGCTATGTGCAGGTCTGCCTGGATACTGTTTTCGAGGAAGTTTTGACATGTACTCAAAGGCAGCGTCCAGGCGAACGTGGACTATGAGGCTCTCACGTCGGTAGTAATCTTGGGGCCCTAACTAAGCCACTGCCCAACCGGCAGCTCAAGAAATCACTAACGGCTGAGATATTCGCTTCGAAACTGGGCCCCGGAATCGTATTTCGCATGGATTCATGGCGCAAAGTGTGGGCCCTGCGCGAAACTGCCATGAATTCATGCGAACATGATCCTGGGGCTCACTTTGGAGGCGCATATCTCAGCCGCTAGTGATTCACTGCGCTGCCACTCGGGTAGTGCCTTAGTCAGGGCCCCAAAATTACTTTCCACGTAAAATCCCCATAGGTCCAGATCTGGCTGGACGTTGCATTCAAGGACTGCATGCATTAACATCCCACCGCAGAGGGGATTGCACTTTAAATGGATGTTTCATATCCTGAAGTTCCGGGTAACTGGATTTCACGCTGTCTAACCAATTATCCGCGAGTATTCCCACCATCCTTCACTATGAACATATTTAACAGGAGGGAAAAGCAATGTAACTCGCATTTTACAGCTTTTTGTATGATCCCCTGATGATGCCCAGGGGCCGACGTCTTTTCTTTGAAGTCATTTTTCCTTCTTCGAATAACGTAAACATTCCGGATTGCATCGATTATTCAACCCGACAGTGCTGAGCATGTTGCTGGTAAGAATAAATGATGTTTTGGAATCATGAAATTTGCGGCGAACCCACAGTCGAAAGTTGAGGTTTGTCGAGAAATTCGATATTTCCCAAACTCATTTGTTCTTATCAGCAACATGTTTAGCACAGTTGGGTTAGACGAACACAGCTTTAGGAAGGTTGTCATTAATTCTGAAGAAAGAAAAATAACTTTGAAGAGAAACGGTCAGCCACCGCGGATCATCAGGGGATGATACAAGAAGCTGAAAATGCGGCTTGTACATCTTGTTGCCTCATTTCAATATGTTCATAGTGAAGGATGATGAGAATACCTATGAACAGGTTATAGCGTAAAATCCAGATGTTGGAGTTTCCGTATATGAAGCTTTCTTTTGAGCGGCTCCATGTCAGGAGTCACGCCGCGCGCCGCGCCGCTTCGCCGCGAACGTCGCGTCTAAATTTTGTACCCCACAGAACTGCCCGGTGCTAAAGTGGCACGGCGCCAGTCTAGGGGGGTGGGGGGTGGGGGCAGTACATGGCTCGTATCATAAGTAAGACTGCGCCAGGAGTGCTAGCTTCTGTTTTGCTGACATCGCTCGCGGCATCGCTTCGCGAAAAATTCGCGCCGACCGTGACTCCTGACCGTTCCCCCTTTTGAGCTGCGAATCTCCACCACGGAGGGGTGTTAATGCATACGGCCTTAAACCTACACATGGCTGCGCAACGCGCGCCCCATGACCCAATGCCAAAATCAGCCGGCGCGCATGGTTTACGCTCCCGGAGCACACTAAACACAGGAAATTAGTGATTCTTTGCACGCCGTTCTTGTCGTATAAGTGATCGTGATCCTTTGCCTACAATTTTGCCGTGTATCGAGAGATTCTTTGCTTTTTTGCATGCAGCTGGCTGCAGTGTAGTGATTATTCGCATACAGTGAAACCGATGTGACCATTGCGGTTTTGAATAAAAGTGGTGGCATTCTTCCAAGGCTCATGCCATGAATCGTAGCGTGAAGTATGTTGTAGGGAAAGAACTTATTGATGGTTTTGGATTATGATTGCAGAAACGTTTGTTCCCATAGCTTTTGCTTCTGTGAGTTCATTTTAGTCCATTCGAAAGACTGATTAGACAGTACCACAAATGTTTTACATTACTGACATGTGGCTATATACCTGAAAATGTATTAAGGTGCGAATGTGCATCTCAAATGAGTAAAACAAACCATCAATCATCGCATGCTTTGAGTAGATCGTGTAAAGTTTATGAGTACACTACAATAATATGAGAAAAAATTTCGAAAACGTTGGAAGCTTCATAAACGCTATCAGTTACTCCTCGTATAAACGCGAAGAGCATACTGCTTCAAAAACACAAAGGTATGTACAACGTATTGACAGGCGCTGTCGTACCAGTATGGTTATCATCATCTATCGCTCTTCTTGCATTACAGTCTGAGCCTCAGCAGACCGAAATGTTGGTGAAATTTGCGCGCTCGCAGAGCCAGCGCTTTGGGCGCTGGCGCTATTCGGCTATCCGAGCGCCAAAATTTTTTTGTCATGGATTTCGCTCAAACTTGATTCAGAGGGGTTACCTGACATGCTGATCACGAATACCACCTTTTCTCCGCAGGAAAACGCCTCCCTGCAGGGTTACGGTAGATGCACGGAAGAAAGTCAAAATCACGGATTTGCCCGAAACTTCGCTTAGAGGGTTATTTGGCATGCTGAACACGAGTATAATGTTTATTTCATGCGACAGCTCCACCCGGTGGAGTTACGGTACGACTACGATAAGGATTATGATATCGGACGATCGTGAAGCTTTGCACACACGACCACAGTCGCGCGCTACATACTCTGTTGCGGCTTTTGCCTAAGCAAAGCACAGGAGAAGGATACATTTGCCGATTTGTGATTTTGACCCCTGCCGTAAACCTACCGTAACCATGCAGGGAAACGTTTTCGTGCGGAGAACGTTTGAAATTTCTAATCAGCACGTCGAATAACCCCTCTGTGCGAAGTTACAGCGGATTTTGAGATTTTGACCCCCTACCGTATACCCACCGTAACCCGAAATGACGCTACGGTACAAAACCAATATGATATTCAGCATGAGCGGGCCAAATAACCCCTCTAGACGAAGTTTCGGGCAAATCCGTGAGACCCTCTACCGTGCACCTACCGTAACCCTGCAGGGAGGCGTTTTCCTGCGGAGAGGTGATATTTATGATCATAGGTGCGAAGGCCTGAGATGGGTACCCTCCAAAGTGAAGGGGGTCTCGGGAGTTTTTGACCCTCAAAAGTGAAGGGGGTCCAAAAATTGCCGACGTCGACCGGGGGGGGGGGGGGGTAGAATTGAAAAAAATAAATTTTCAGTTTTTTAACTTTAATTTTTTTGAATTTTAATTTTAACAATTTTCCAATTTTTTTTGATTTTGAATTTTCCAATTTATTTGTATAAATTTTAATATAGTTAGTAAAATGTTTTCGAGCACTTTTTTGATAAATATCATTTCATTATCATGTACCATAATGCGGGAAACAGAGCAAAAATCGGGACCGGACCCCCCTCACTGGGACGAAGCAGGTGCTAAGGTGAGTTAGTCAGATTAAAGTTGAGATATCGTAGCTGAAAAATCCAATTTTAGGCATTCTATGGGACGAGCAGTATTGAGTCGATATGGGAGGGCGCATGGTCGTGAAACGAATGGCTGGAGTGGAGCCTACACGTGGGCTTGTTGGACGAGACCCTGGAAAAAACATTTTGTGGTTGTAATATGGATATAAATTGAATAATTTGCCATCGTATTGTGTTTATAAGGATAAACAATAAATGGAAATGTTGTACACAATCGAATTTGTATATACTGAGTGAAGGCAGGAAAATAATCACAATAGGAAAGTAAGATATCGGAGTTTGATGATCAAAAGAGAGAGCTGCTGGAAATAAGTTCTATAAAGGTAGAGGGAGAAGTTAAGTCAGGTATTAGGTACTCAGGTAAGCTTCCGATGTAAGCTGATCAGGAGAAGCAGGTTTGAGTTGCTAACTATACCCCCCTTCAAACCAAAAAATTTCCATATCTCGGTAGGGGGGTCCTCTCATAATCTGATTTCTTTTTTATCTTGTCGAGGAGTGTGTACTGGATACAAGTAGGGCTGTCGCAAAAGGATCTGCTTTAGGGAAGGAGAGCAACAGCACCGAGTTGAAGACGCATAGATTTTTGTGTGAAATTCAAGCTCAAGAAGGTCTGCTTCAGCAGATTCTTTTGCGACAGCCCTACTTGTATCCAGTACACACTCCTCGACAAGATAAAAAAGAAATCAGATTATGAGAGGACCCCCCTACCGAGATATGGAAATTTTTTGGTTTGAAGGGGGGGGGGGTATAGTTGGCAACTCAAACCTGCTTCTCCTGATCAGCTTACATCGGAAGCTTACCTGAGTACCTAATACCTGACTTACCTTCTCCCTCTACCTTTATAGAACTTATTTCCAGCAGCTCTCTCTTTTGATCATCAAACTCCGATATCTTACTTTCCTATTGTGATTATTTTCCTGCCTTCACTCAGTATATACAAATTCGATTGTGTACAACATTTCCATTTATTGTTTATCCTTATAAACACAATACGATGGCAAATTATTCAATTTATATCCATATTACAACCACAAAATGTCTTTTCCAGGGTCTCGTCCAACAAGCCCACGTGTAGGCTCCACTCCAGCCATTCGTTTCACGACCATGCGCCCTCCCATATCGACTCAATACTGCTCGTCCCATAGAATGCCTAAAATTGGATTTTTCAGCTACGATATCTCAACTTTAATCTAACTAACTCACCTTAGCACCTGCTTCGTCCCAGTGAGGGGGGTCCGGTCCCGATTTTTGCTCTGTTTCCCGCATTCTCATTTCCTACACTTTGTAAATAAATTCTTTTACCTCAAATTGTACTCCACTTCAAGCACACTAACATCTCACCTCAAAAAATTTTCTTCCTCCGTCCAAAGTGAAGGGGGGGGGGTAGCCCAGGCTCCAAAATGAAGAGGGGGTGAGATTTTTCTCAATCCTTCGCACCTATGTTTATGATCAGCATGTCAGATAACCCCCTGGACCAAGTTTGAGCGAGATCCATGACAAAAGAATTTTGGGCCGGATAGCCGAATAGCGCCTTTGATACAACTGGCTTGGCTTCGGGAAGGCGGGGCTTTGTGACCTAATCAAGGCCGCTCGCGCCAACGACGCACCTGCGTCTCTCTCGTACAAGTGCTCTCTGGTCATTACCTAGCCTTAAAGGCAGCGTCCGGGCAAAATCTCGAACAAAATTTTTCTCGCTTACCTGGCTTTATTCTTCCCGTTGATTCCGAAAATGCAGCTTGCAGAGAACGAAGATGTCGAAAAAGGGCTTTTCCAGAAGCAGTTGATTTTGAATAATGACGCTTACCGCCGAGGTTAAGACGCAGAGTCGCGTGCTCGACATACGTACTCCGGCTATCGATTGAAGGGGCGGGCACGTCGCCGGGGCGGTCCTGTCGCCACTTCTGAAGCGGTTTTCTCGCTTCAGAAACAAAATGGTGCAATGCCACTTGGGCAAGAGCTCCACCAGGCCGAGGGTCCCTGTACGCTACAGTTTCGTTTTTGCCCGGACGCTGCCTTTAATTAGGTCGCGAAGCCCCCCCCCCCCCTTCAAGCCAAGCCATTTGAATCAAATGGTATGAGCAGTATTCGTGACGCAGAGTTGACGATGCCGATGCCCCCACTCCAATTTTAGCCTGACTCGCAGGGACAGACTGTACAGGACTTATCGACTGCAGAGTCTGGTGCACCAACACGCTCCCGCGCGGCCGCCTCGCCTGAACTATGCATCTCCTTCGTGGACTGCTTTCTTATCACTTGGCGTGGGAAGGGCAAAGCTTCAATCGTAAGTTGAGCGTGCGAAAATGATTAGGATCATATTCGCGAAAGAGGTGCAGACTCCAGGCGAGGCGGCCACGCGAGAGTGGAGATGCTGGTGCACCAGACTCTGTAACTGATAAGCCATGTACATGCCGCCCGCAGGGACTAAACGTCATTGCGTCCAAATGAGAAGCTCTTGATCGGAAGAGAAAGAAGACGGTAGGTGTGAAAGAGCGCATGATCAGAGATACCTCGGCAGCGTCCGCAGTAGCTCCCAGTCTTTGCATGCGAGACTCGCTCATACTGACTGACCCAGTTCAGATATCGTGCATCGGGCCATGTCGACAGCGATTGCCAAGTGAATCACAGTCGTTTTCCGCCCATCATTGCCCTCGACCGCTCTCTCTTAAAGGCAGCGTACATCCAAAATTTCACCTTCGATGTTTTTGTCATTCTGGGGCCTTTCCGTGCCGCTGATTACAGTTATGTCATTGAAATCCTCCAAAAGTCCCAAAGAACCCCGATTTCCGAGGACCCTCTCTTCAGGGGCGGACGAGTTTCGAACTGCTCGTCCCCGTCGGCATGCCAGCAGCTGCAACAGCATAACAGCCTGCAGTTGCAACTGCAACTGCTGCATATGCTGTCGTGGTTCGTCGCCCGAAGGAGGCGCACCGCAAAAAGCAACTGCACTGTTGCAACTGCAGTTGCAGATGCAACAGCATTGCAACAGCAACTGCAACCGCAACTGAAGCTTACGCTGTCGTGGATTCGTCCGGAGGAGGCGGAGTGAAAGAAAAGGGGCGGAATGAAAGAAAATTGAGGAGGGTTTTCTCCGCTCAGAAGCAACATTGGGAGACCGGACCAACGCAGTTGGTCTTCTTCTGGGCCCAGTATATACACGGTATAGAAAGATCTAGGAAATTCGGTAACTTAGATTTTGGGTGAACGCTGCCTTTAAGGGATGCCGCGCGCGGGCTCATTTTTTCCGCGTTTCAAAATGGGATTGACGAGCGAGTATAACTGCAGCTGTAAAGGACGTATCTGATCAGTTATTCAGAGGGACTACAGATGCAGACATCACTCAAATTTGAAAATCAGCGAGCCGTGCCTTTTCGATATCGCAAGCCGCCATCATGACCTCTAACTTAAGCCCTGGCCAGACTTCGCTCAAAAGCTCTCAAAAGAGCCCAAATTTCTTCAATCTCTCTCATCTCTCCTCACACGATAAAGTGAGAAGACATTAGAGAAATTTGAGCGCTTTTGGGCGCTTTTGAGCGAAATCTGGCCGGGCCTTAGGGTGGACGGTGCCTTTAATGTGCTGCTGCAAAGTTGACGAAGGCATGGCTGCATTACTCACCTTCGCTACAGTCCATATTAGCGGGTGTATGTCACGAGGCGAACTTTTATCGCCAGATGGACACCAAGTAGCGCATTCTCAGTGTTAAAGGCAGCGTTAGGCAATTTGGACCTATGGGGCGCTTGCTAGTGAAGGTAATTTTGGGGCTCCAACTAAGATGCTCAAAGGCAGTGTCCCGGCAGATTTTGCATCTCCACCTTTTTGCATGTTTTAGGCCTTTTCGCCACGTAGAATCCGAATTTGAGCTTTGAACGGGCTGAAAAGGCCGATTTTGGGGCGTTTTCCTAATTCCAGAAAAGCAGCTTGGACGAGATTTTTAATGGAAAGTTGGGGGAGGTCCTCAGACGAAGATCCTGCCGCCTGTAATTCTTGCTGTGGATAGCATGCATCACGAGGGAGAGCGCTCGTGGGGTCCCGCGCCGAACAGGCGGGGAAAGCCGTCCAAGCGCGTGCCATTTGGGGTTGCGCGCGCCGGTTCAAGGGTCATTTTCTCGGCCTAGGGGGAACATCACCCAGCCGGAGTGCGCCTGGAGGTCGATGGGGTGACCAGGAACCCCATTGCACGCATATCCCCCAGGACCCGAATCTGCCGGGACACTTCCTTCAAGGGCAGCGCCATTGGTTCACACACGGCTGAGATATTCGCCTCCAAACTGGACACCAGGATCGCATAGACGCGCGACTTACATCGTGCTTGCATGCTTTCGCGCGAAGACCCGGCAAAACTGATGGGTCGGCATGAAACCATCCGAAAGGCATGAGGGAAACACTTTGAAGGCGAATATCTCAGTGCACCATCTGAGGTGGCGATTGGATAGTGTCTACGACCCTGAGTCCAACTCGGCGACGAATATCTCAGCCGCGTGTGAGTCATTTGGGGTGGCGGGGGGGGGGGGGGGGGAACGCGGAAGGCGACAATGTGCGTAAAATGAAAGCAGTGTAACGCTATTGCTATTACAAAATTTTACTTATGGCATCGAGTCTTGTATCTGCCCCCACCCCCCCCCCTTCCCTACCTTGGCGCCGTTCAATTTGGCACTGAAGAGTTTTGAAAGGTACAATATTTGGGGATTGTCGCCTTTCGCACCACACCCAATCACGTGCGATGCCGCTTGGGTAACGACGCCTGATTGATACACTGCCCTAGAGGGGGTATATGCCAAGATGAACGATAGCTGGTACCAACCGCGAGTGCAGCATCTGCGCTGCCGCTTGGGCATTCGGTTTCGGCGGGTTCAGGTATTTTTTGACGCGTACCGGCGCTAACTGACCAATGCCTTCCGGCGATATGGTCAATTTTGCGCGCTCTAGTTTGTCATCTTGTGTCCACCCTCCCCAGGCCAACTCTCAGCAGAATCCATGATTTTGGTCGTATGAAGTGGAATAACGCCTTTTTTGTCTTTACATACTTCTTTTTTGAGGAATTGAAGAACTTGGTACTAAGGAGGAGCTTCGGGATTACCTTGGAAGTCTTATCCATGCACTCAGATCGCATAAACCTTGTACGGTATGCTAACTATAAATTGTGTTTTCTACTTAACGTTTTATTATTGTGTTATATCAAAACCGGCGAAGTAGCATGCCTGAAAAAGCTAGATTTTCTGTGGAATCAAAAAGGATTATATAAGTAAGTGCTTCTTTTTTGAGAATCTTCGCCGGAGTGATCCACTATGGTGCGGCAAAATCTCTTGCCTCAGACTTGCGAGTCAGTGGTGTCTGATGCATGACTGTTGGGATAGTGAGAAGAAATGCAAAGGTTGTGTTATTTGGACGTTTATCCAGCTTTTATGAACTTTATAGATAAGAGATGTATGCGTTCCGAATTGGTCGTTACGCATTGGGTGAACTGCACTTATGCTAGATGTTTCATGTGCTCACCTTGGATACGACCAGAATCGCTGGAAAGCGAGCGTATGTCCTTCCTACCCTATTTATCGAGCTGTCCAGACGTTACTATGGTTTGCAGCGAAACAGTTTTTGGACGAATGTTTCGGTACCCATTGCTTTCTTGGACGAAATATCGAACCTCTACTTATCAAATATCGCGAGAAGGTCGACAAAATGTATGCTGCGGTAAATGCAGCAGCCAATTCAGTCGACGAAAGTGAGGAGATTTTTCAGTTTTTATCTGGAGCCTCCTGAACGATCAAAGTGCGAAAGACTGCCCAGTATAAGAATATTCATTTTCGAAATCGTGACGACGAGTTGATTGCGGTCTTTCCACACATAGAAGACAAATACAAACAGGCAACACCTCAACACTAAGCTCAGTCACTTCCAGTGCCTCAATACGGTCTTATGTAAGCAGGATAACTATTTGAATATGGATAGAAATCAAGAATTGGGAGTGCGTGCGTGTTGCGCGCGGTCGCGCCATCGTCATGAATTTGCGAATGTCCTATATAGTATACTTGGGACCGAATCGAATGATATTCGACTATTCGAATAAATCATTCGAATGCGAATCATTCGAAAAGTCGAATATTCGAAAATCTGAGATTTCGAATAAAATTCGAAAGTCGAATATTCGAAATTTTCAGTTTTCGAATATATTCGATATTCGAATATTCGAAAATTCTAACTTTCGAATATTATTCGAAAGTCGAATATTCGATGGTCATCAATTCGATCATTCGATGTTCATCGAATAGTGTCGAATATTCGAATATTCGATGAACATCGAATATTCGAATATTCGACAATTTGAATGATGAAACCAGAGCCCGGCGCAGATTATATGGAAGCAAGCAGGATTTGGTTTTTGGGGCGAAAAAGCGAAAACATATCATTTTCGTGGCCAAAAATTGCGACGTATTTTAGTCGGCGTTTCGTCTTTTGATTTTTTATGTTTAGGGCTGACAGTCAAAGGGACTTCGTTTTCAAGAAGCTTAAAAAGTGCGCGCGGAGAGTGCGCATGGTGTGTATTGTGTGTTACTCCTCTTTCCTCGTGCACCCTCGCCGCCTGTTTTTCTCTGCGCTTCTTCCAGTCGTGAACTGCCCTCAATGTACGCAACAGCGTTGCTCTCTGTGCGCAGCGCGGACGGCCTATACCGTAGATGTGATATCTGGGGAGGTATCCAGGGCCCGGCACGCGTTGGTTTGGAGCGTTTTTGGAGACGAAGTCCCCTAGAATTCGCGAAAATTTACGAAGTCCCTTTTGTTCCAGTTTTGAGGTACCTAACACAACAAAAAAGCAAAGAAAACATCTGAGTCGATCCAATTCTTGAGTATGGTACCATTTTAGTGTTCAGAACGTTGGAAACCTCTTAGGCCAACCAAATCTATGACCTCAACAATTTGGAAATGCATTTTTCGCCACATAGTTCAAAGGACACCTCATGTGATTGGAGCGCGATATCTATCAAAGCCTTAGTCTCCACTATTTTTGGCTCAAAAAAGAGGAGAAGCAGTAGTTTGATTCGCTTTCTTCGCCATATGATAGACTAGCTGGCATACCCGGCTCCGCCGTATGTTCCGAATAGAAAATTCCATTTCTTAACCGTTCCGAACCAAACTTGGCACACATACACTTCGGGCCCCTGCGGGTGTCACAGTCCACTTTTCGTTATCGATTGATGTCGATTTTATCGATTTTATGCAAAATTTGAGCTAGGGGGCTGGGATTTGGCACAGGAGGGTAATCGAGCATGCTGATTACGAATACAATATTAGTTTTCGAAACCGTGCATTACTTTTATCGATTTTATCGATTTTTTGCAAAATTTGAGCTAGGGGCTGGAATTGGCAGAGCATGCTGATCACCCCCACGCTCAGATAATCGCCGGGGGCAGGCGGTCCGCAAACTCGCGCTTTTCTGCGGGCGGTCAGCAGAATTTTGGGGCGTGGCCAAACCTTCAGCGGGCGGTACTTCCGCTTTCTGCCAGCGGGCAGCAATACAGAATTTTCTGCGAGCGCTCGTCAAATAATATCTTCCAGCGAGCGCTGGCCAAACTTTCAGCAAGCGCTCGGACTTTTTTAGGTATTTTCGGGCGTACGTCGAGCACAGGTAAGACTCTGTGTGGTAGAGGTGTCACCGTTGGTTTAATTACTCAAGTTTGAGGTACTTTCTCTCAGCGGAAAGTACCTTGGGGTTGCGCGGTCCTCCACAAAGGACCGTGCGGCCCTCAAAAATTTTGCATATTCTCGCGGAAAGTCCGCGAGAATGCGGCCACTGCGCCGCAGCTAATCCATAAAGAAACCGCGATTGTTCTTCAAGCATTCTTCTTTAATTTTGCCAACTTTCTTCCAAATTTCTGCAAGCGGGCCGCAAAAAATCAACGAACTATTTTTCCGGTGCGCGCTTGCTCAAAATTCGCATGGCCGCCTGCCCCCGGCGGTTTTCTGAGCGGGGGTGATCAGCATGCTCGATTACCCCCCTGTGCCACTAAATTATAGACTGTAAAAGGCACTTCTGACCTACCGTAATCAAAATTAGGCGTGACGGTAATGTTGACTGCAGAAACATGCAAATCTACGTCCAATAAACTATGCTGCGATAGAACAAGACTGTAGCATATGTCGTGGGATTGATGTGGGTAGCATATTGCTTGAGAGCGATGAACAGTCGATGTGCAGCAACGTTACGTATCAATTCCCAGTCGTGCTGTGAGCTGCTCTGATATCACAGCTGTGTGTATACGTAGATAGGTACTCCTACCAGTCACAGCAGTTTACGTGGATTACGTTTTAAGGAACCGCTGGACCAGCAACAAGCTTGAGATTTGAGAACCTCATGAATTTCGTAATTCCTCTTCTAACCAGGTTCAAAATAAAGCTAAGCCTCACATTTATATCCTCTCGAGTGTTTCTCTTCGAGTGTTTAGATTGTTTCTCTTCGAGTTTGCTGTCGCTTAACTGAGGATGGATCCTTGATCGAAGTAGCCTTTCGAGATGATATGCATACATATGGTTTTGCAAAGCATCAGCCGCTTCTAGATCTGTTCTCTTTATCTGCGGAGCGGCTATGTAACGAAGATCGGAAGGGTAGAAAGGGAAATCGTAAACAGAAGCATCTCATGGGTTAAGATGAAGCAGAAATGCTTGTCAAACCATTCTTTACAAAGAAATTTTTGTTTCAAACCCATACTGGGAAACAGCTTCTGTCTCATACCCAGACCCGAATACAACTCTGACTGCGGAATGTACAGGCTGTTAGACACAAACTTTTTTCCTCGTTGTGCGTTCTCTTTGATTTTTGAAACGGTCTAGCTTCACCCTTAGGTGTTCCGCAGACAAGGAAGACAAATTTAAAATCAACTTCCTTCCTTCAAAAATATGTGCGACTCAATCTTAAGGGGAACTTGAACCAATGATCCTTCCCGTGTAAGTCTTTTAGTTAACAAGGTGATACGCTCGTCTAGTCTGTTTTGACACTCGAAAATGATTAACATGGCAACAAGGACAGGCGATTGACGCCAAATTGGTACGCTTTGTAATGACCGTAATCCTAGTCCTTGTAAACTGAAACGAAGCCGTCAAAGGGAGAGGGAAGTTATTGTATTCAATTGACATCAAGACACTGCATAATCAGTTCTGTTTTGCGCTGCTTATCTTCTGATGATAAACGTCACATAAAGTATGCTGTAGTTCTTCCAATACGAATCCTTCAATGAGTATAGGTATCGTTTTCGTTCATGACCGGTCTTTAAACTTTTTTTGTCAACTTTGTTGATGGTTAAGAGCTCAAAAGCGAGATCTTGTCGGTGCACAAGCGAAAAGCTAAGCATTCTTATACGTCGCCTAAATGAAACAGTTCACTTGGAAGTAAAGACAATCAAACTCGTGTATAGCAGTCATATGACATGTCAAAGGACGCCCTCACAGCTAGATCTGTGCGCGTAATTAGTAAATTGTAACTAAAATCTACATTATGAGCGCTGTTTTGTTGCTAAATGTCAGCTTCAGAAAATTCCATTCATGGAGCATTGTTTCTGGTAGTAGTTGCAAGAAGCTTGTTTATCTTGGTGCTACACTTAACCATGTATCCAGCAGTGAACGATGTCATCGGTGATTGCAGCAGGAAGATACAATCTAATCTCTTCCTTCGCAACACTTCTTTCGCAACACTTCCCAAGAGGAAAGACAAGTAACGGGAAAACAGAATAGATATTCGGGATGGATTAGCCAAACCAAAGGAAGCCATCATTTTCATCCCAATGATGAGGCGGCATATCGCGCGGTAACAGGCCGAGGCGTGAAGTTACATGTCTGTGCAGCCAACATTACCGTCACGCCTAATTCTGATTACGGTAGGCCAAAAGTGCCTTTTACGACCTATAATCCAGTCCCTGTGCCAAACCCCAGCCCCGTAGCTCAAACTTTGCAAAAAAAATCGATAAAATCGATAAAAGTAATGCACGATTTTAAAAACTAATATTGTATTCGGAATCCCCATGCTCACTTACCCCCCTGTGCCAACTCCCAGCCCCGTAGCTCAAATTTTGCAAAAAATCGATAAAATCGATATCGATCGATGACGAAAAGTAGCCTATGACACCCGCCGGGGCCCGTAGTGTATGTGTGCCAAGTTCGGTCTGGATCGGTTCAGAAATGGAATTTTCTATTCGGAACATACGTACAGACAGACATACAGACAGACAAACAGACATTCAGCTTTATATATAAGATTTTGGAGCGTTCTCTTCGTCCAAATCAAAAAGGTCCAAAACTTATGTGAACTCTCCGATATTTATGCTCCGAACCAACCCGGTTGGTTTGGTGTTGGACTAGAAACCAACAAATTGGAACATGTAGGACACAAGTTTTTGAAACTTTTTACATAATGTTGTTTGGAGTAATATTGTATATGTATACAGCCCAAATTCGGCGTCATGCGATTGTGTGTGCGCTGTAAACAAGCCATCTGTTTGTTTGGGTCTTACGTTTGAAATTCGCGCGCTTGCCAAAGAAAACGTTCAACTGGTACAACCTGACATGTTTGTCGTTTTTTTTTTCGGTGCTTTGCCCAGAACCTTATAAAAACGATATCTCCGTTGCTTCTAATCTCAAAAACGAAGTCCAGTTTGACCCCGGACCGTCTGTGCCGGGCCCTGCCGGTATTTATCAATCGCGCCGTTCGGGTTCGGGTTCCCATCTAGGTAGTAT